TGTGTTGACCACTGGTCTTGGTGCTGGTGTGTGTGTGTGTTGACCACTGGTCTTGGTGCTGGTGTGTGTGTGTGTTGACCACTGGTCTTGGTGCTGGTGTGTGTGTGTGTTGACCACTGGTCTTGGTGCTGGTGTGTGTGTGTGTGTTGACCACTGGTCTTGGTGCTGGTGTGTGTGTGTGTGTTGACCACTGGTCTTGGTGCTGGTGTGTGTGTGTGTTGACCACTGGTCTTGGTGCTGGTGTGTGTGTGTGTTGACCACTGGTCTTGGTGCTGGTGTGTGTGTGTGTTGACCACTGGTCTTGGTGCTGGTGTGTGTGTGTGTTGACCACTGGTCTTGGTGCTGGTGTGTGTGTGTGTTGACCACTGGTCTTGGTGCTGGTGTGTGTGTGTGTGTGTGTTGACCACTGGTCTTGGTGCTGGTGTGTGTTGACCACTGGTCTTGGTGCTGGTGTGTTGACCACTGGTCTTGGTGCTGGTGTGTTGACCACTGGTCTTGGTGCTGGTGTGTGTGTGTGTGTTGACCATTGGTCTTGGTGCTGGTGTGTGTGTGTGTGTTGACCACTGGTCTTGGTGCTGGTGTGTGTGTGTGTGTGTTGACCACTGGTCTTGGTGCTTGTGTGTGTGTTGACCACTGGTCTTGGTGCTGGTGTGTGTGTGTTGACCATTGGTCTTGGTGCTGGTGTGTGTGTGTTGACCATTGGTCTTGGTGCTGGTGTGTGTGTGTTGACCATTGGTCTTGGTGCTTGTGTGTGTGTGTGTGTTGACCACTGGCCTTGGTGCTGGTGAGTGGCGGAGCTGCCCCTAACCTTCCACTGGATATTATACTTCAGTCTGATATGAATTCAAAAGATTGAAAGTTAATACAAACAGCAACAGACCGTTAGATCTGAATTATGCTGCATGTTTGGTAGGATTTCGATTGGACATTGTCATGTGTGGCTTTCCATAGTAGTACTTTGTTTTACTGCATATACGATCTTGTTCTGACCGACCAATTGGTGAACTGTTTTTAGTTTTATTGAAGAAAACATTTTACAATTTTGTGATTAAAAAAATAATACAAATTTGTAGCACTTTATGCAATATTTAAGTCTTCAGTAAAGATGGCCTTGACCCTTGATAACCGTAAATACTTGAGACGAACAATAAGATTAAGGTGACGTTGCATAAAATATTAATCATAATTATCCCTCCTAGACGTCTTCCAAGCTTAATATATATTTTATTTTATTTTTTATGAAATTTATCTATTTCCTAATGAATTTTTTTTTAACTATTGAGATCTGATCATTACTGAACTTCACTCTTCACTTTATGAAGAATTAGTCTTCAGCCAAGCCATAAATGATGCACTAAACCCTAGAATATTGACATTTAATGTTGGACGTCAATGTATTAAGCTGAGTGTTCCAGTCAGTCGCAGCAAACTGTCGTAAGTGTGAAGATCAAATACGTTCGGTTTTGATGTTGGAAAATCATAATTATCACTAACTACCTCTCGCTGAATGTTTATCGTACAATTGCTTTATAAGTTGCGATTGATTAAACATTGTAAATTAAGTAATATTTTATGGTCTCGTTGTTCTACACGTTTTGTATTGTAATATGAAAATGTTCACGAGTAGAACTACGGATTTATGGTTCCTATTAAAAATCACGTGATACAGGTTTTGTGTTGGGTCCAGGGAGGAGTAACTTATCTTCGTCCTCGCTACACTTCCTGAGACCAAGGTGTGTCCCGGATGGTCGGTGTCGGAGGAATGTAACATTGTACCATACTGGACGTACTCTTGTTCCATACTGGAGGCACTCTTGTACCCAGTATAGTTGGTATATATTACACCACCAGTAATGTTCTCATTAGTAAATGTTATGCGCTATATAACATCTGAAACTGTTCCAGAAAACTGCTTTAAACTTGGAGTACGAGTCTTGTTGGGATGTTACATTATAAAACGGGTCACCATTTTAATTTTTTTCTCAATCCTTTAACACATTACTTATTTACAGCAGTGTTAATTTTTATTCATCGCAGCAATGTTCTTGATACATACTTAAATCGGTATAAAGTAAGCTTTCAAATTTGTTTGCCATATTCAGCTATAATTTTTAGCCCCCCCCCCCTCCCTAAAATTTTGTAGAATGTCAATTGGAACTAATAATCTATTTACTGGTTGGTTTTGGTTTTCTTCACATATCAATGTTTTACACACGTCGTCTCAGTCGTATGAGTGTTAATTAATGTTAATATATTCCTCGGTATAAATGGTAAATCTTTCCATTTCAGTTAGGTGTGTCCACCTGGTGGCTGCTCTTGGAACTAGTTAGGTGTGTCCACCTGGTGGCCACTCTTGGAACTAGTTAGGTGTGTCCACCTGGTGGCCACTCTTGGAACTAGTTAGGTGTGTCCACCTGGTGGCCACTCTTGGAACTAGTTAGGTGTGTCCACCTGGTGGCCACTCTTGGAACTAGCTTTTGTTAGCGTGTGTGTGGTGGTACCTGAAGCGTCTCGCCATGCATAGTAACTGTTCGGTCACGCGTGTTGACACTGTTATCAAAGAGGAAATCCGGTGGTTCAACTCACGGTTGTTGTTGTTGGTTATTATATTATATATTATATAATATATAATATAATATAATATAAACAAGGAAGGGAGTACCACCTCTAGCTGGAAGAAGGGGGACCCATAGCCTCGGAGGAAACCACACATTAGAGGGAATGTTTAGATCCCCTCCAATACAGTTTCTGTGCTTTTCTCCTACCACCCCCTTCTTTTTTTATATTTTTGTGCTTTATTATGTATTTGATGGTCACAAGATATACATGGGTTGATACAAAAATAGTAATACAAAAAGGTGCTTAAAGGTTATGGATCTCTTGAAAAACACAATGGGAAAAGGAAGACTCGTATGTCCCTGGGAATTGACTTATTATATTGAATTATTTACAATATAAATATACATTATATATATTATATAATGTATATAATTTATATTATAAATATTTCGATATTCAATATCAATTCAATATAAATTCATATAATAAGTCAATAATTCCCAGAGATTTACTTGCTTAGCTAAACGAACTAGAGGGTTCAGTTCCTGAACCGATTACGTACCTCCTGTAACCCTTTCTACCGCCGCCCACGAGATGGGTATGGGATGCATAATAAAGAAATTGCATTGACTTTAAGTCACGTGCATTGAAATATTTCATTCTTTGGAGATCTACACATTGAATCATTCAAGATAAGCTCTCTGTATTCAACGTAGGTTTGTTACCCATATTGGGCACGTGGCTGTGATCTGCGGTGAGGCGGGGAAGATACGCTATATTTAGTACAAAAGTAATTGTCGAAAGGTGGTCATTTATAAGACGGCTTCGTAATGTTGCTTTTATCGTGGAAGGCTGCAACACCAGCGTTGGTGATCTTCTTCAACTCATGTTACATCTTGTCAGTCTCGGGAACAGTTTAACTTTTAATATTGTGTCGCTTAGGTGTTACTTGAATGTAAACACGTGGCACGCGGCTTTGTTTACATCCAGTACTTGGAAGTAAACAAAGCGATCGATCGCTTTGTTTACTGTTTATTGAACGATCACCATACCGGAATTGTCAGAGTAACGTACTCGTCAACTGTCTGGTTAATTCTGCGTCTAGTTAATTTGCTCCTGTATCCCAATTGTGCATGAGCGCAGAGAGCGGCATGCCGAGTGTGCAGCAAGCTTGTGGACCCGCCTTCTGCAGTGTATTCCTAATATTTAAGTAACAGTTCCTTATTGAGATGATTCTTGTTACTCCTGAGGAAGTTCTGTGCAAACTCGGGTCGATGATGCGCGGAGCATTCAATAATATATTAAAATCAATTTTTTTTTTACATATAACAATAATTAATTTTCAATAATGCAGCAGGTACCTCCCCAGAGTACCAGTCGTCGGAGCCTAAATCAGGCCCACTGAAGGCTATTGAAGTGGTGGTGGTGCAGCTTCTCCCCCAACCCAGCATTCCTCACGCCCCCACCCAACCCCGCATTCTCCGACCCTCCTCCTCCCCCCCCCCCCCAACCCCGCATTCTCCGACCCTCCTCCCCCCCCCAACCCCGCATTCTCCGACCCTCCTCCCCCCCCAACCCCGCATTCTCTGACCCTCCTCCCCCCCTCAACCCCGCATTCCATCAGACCCCCCCCCCAACCCCGCATTCCATCAGACCCCCCCCCAACCCCGCATTCCATCGGACCCCCCAACCCCGCATTCCATCGGACCCCCTCCAACCCCGCATTCCATCAGACCCCCCCCAACCCCGCATTCCATCAGACCCCCCCCCCAACCCCGCATTCCATCAGACCCCCCCCCAACCCCGCATTCCATCAGACCCCCCCCCCTCCTCCCACCCAACTGTACTCGATCCTCTCGCCCGTACTTCTCATTCTTACTCTCCATGCTGCTCCAGAACAACTCTTCTCCCCCCCCCCTCCCACCACCCCTTTTCAATCGCTGACTTTTTTCCAGAACTTGTCGTATAATATGACGAATATTGTCTTAATTGTAAATGTTCTTCCGTTGGAAGCCGCGGCTTGGTCTCCGTGTAGACATGTCTGAAATCTGCTCTCATGTCTAAATTAATCCTTTTGAATTACCATACTAGCAAGGCCTTTATCAGTACACAGTAGTCAAAGATTCTCGACTTCGTCGTCTGTTACTCTCTGCGTCTTGTATGCTTTTTTTTTTTTTTTTTTTTTTTTTTTTTTTTTTTTTTTTTTTTTTTTATTCCCCGTCTGTGTTCTCGCTGCACATCTTCACTATCAACTACCCCCGTGTTTCATTGTTGGTGTTCTTCGCCTCCGTCTTGTTTACTTCCCAAGTCAGCGTCTCTTGCATCTCCTCGCCTGCCCCTCGCCCACCATCCCCCCCCCCACCCACCATCTCCCCCCCCCACCCACCATCCCCGTCCTGCCGGTGCATGACGTCACTAAGACAACGTTGTTGTGTTTACAGGAGGATGAAGGAGGTGACGAGCAAGCCCCAGCGACTCGTCAATGTGTCGTCTGGCCACGAGGTGTACGACACCCTCCACACCCGCGCCCAGGTGGTGAGTAACCCATACACTCTTGCCTTCCCCCCCCCCCACCCCTCCTAGGTGCCTGGGACCCCCGACCCCAGGGTGCCTGGGACCCCCCAGGGTGCCTGGGACCCCCCAGGGTGCCTGGGACCCCCAGGGTGCCTGGCCCCCCCCCCCCAGGGTGCCTGGGACATCAGTATGCAAGAGGAGGGAGGGAGGAGAGCACACGCATGCACAAATGCTCCTCTCACCGTATAGGCACATAATCACGCATTTACATTAATTATTTTAATAGCTTGTGAGCCATATTGATGACGTGGCAGGTGTAACGTGTGGGATGAGAGGTGACTTGGGCAAGTATACCAGCGTGTTTTGTTTGGTTAGACACGAACGCTAATTAAAGGTATTTAGAAATGAATATAAAGGTGACATTGACCTTAGCATCATAAATCTCGGTAGAATGCGGCTAACTATACAGGTGTAAATTATTTTAGATTTCTGATAGGCTGTGGCTGTAGTTTCGAGTAAAGTTGACAGATGAAAAAGCATTTACATTGTCGTTGAAATTCTTTAACGCTACTGTCATGGTCAGATGGTTTCTTTTAATAGAATCTGTACAATAGAATAGAATAATAGAATCTGTAATGCACTCTAGCCACCTGGTTTAAACAAGTATCGAATTATCGCATGTAACAAAACACAGCTACCAAATAACTTCTGCCATAAGGTAAGAACACTAAGGAAGGCTCGATGTCCAGAGGGTTTGAATGGGGTTTCCTCTGAATTAATTTAGAGAATGTGAGGTTGATAATACTCAGCAAATGCCTGCTAGTGTCCATGTAGGATCTTCCCCTTGAAGACAATTGGTCACGTAGTGTGGCAATTACGGAGCTTCAACCCACCAACCCCACCTTGAGGTTACCTTGAGGTGCTTCCGGGGCTTAGTGTCCCCGCGGCCCGGTCGTCGACCAGGCCTCCTAGGCCTGGTCGACCCACACATGATATTAGATTGACGAAGATTTCATGACAGGATGGAGAGTTAGGTGTTCATGGGTGTTCATTGGGTTATTTCAGTTAATAATGTTAACTTTCTTGTCCGGACCCTAATACAAGCCCAACAAAATGTTTCCATTGAAGAAATCTTGCCGGTTCAAACTGTCTAGTTTGTGAGCACTTGCTTCCCTAGACTGTCATTATAATTTTGCTTGCTCATGTTGTCAAGATGTAGACGATCCTAGACTTGGCCAAAACTACTAGACAAAATTAACAATGAAAAATGCGTTGACCAGACCACACACTAGAAAGTGAAGGGACGACGTCGTTTTGGTCCGTCCTGGACCATTCTCCATAGATTGTGGTCCAGGACGGACCGAAACCTCGTCGTCCCTTCGGTTTCAAGTGTGTGGTCTGGTCAACAACTTTAGCCACGTTGTGACTCATCGTCTGCAAATGAAAGATGCATTTGTATCTTCACACTTTCAGTATACCAGGAGTGAAAATTAGAACGTGTCGATAGTTACTCCGGCGTCTGTTTAGTAGAATTACGGAGTAAGATGAACATGGGATAATTATTGTTAAACATTCATTTACTGGTAATTTAAGGCAACATTCCAAAATGTATAAGTTTCTGGTTTAAAGTGCTGAGATAATGGAAACTGTCGATTACTGCTCTTAATGTCCGAGGAGCAAGTAGTCTAAGGGATACAAGAAATGGTAAGAGCATTTAATTCTCTAGGGATGGGTTTAGACGACACATGTTGGGCCATAGGGAGTATGTTCCTGATTCTTCCTGTTAGGGAGACTGCCGAAATTTGTTAGACCAAATATTAAGATTATTCAATAAACTTCCGAACTAATCAATAAAATGTATTTATTTTTGTTATAGAAATAGTCGCGGAATAAACTGGTAGTCGGCGTCTCGGTTAACGCAAATAACTATCAAACGACAGGTAATTTTTTAAAATTCTATTCTAAGTAATATTACAGATGTTCATAATTGGTGGGGCTCGTTAATATGGCAGCATCTCCAGGATAGGAAAGACTAAGTCACTTGTGACAAACTAGTTTGTGCTCGTCTTTAAATAACATGGCGAAATTTTATAGAAATTTATATTTTAACGATGAGCACAAATTTGTTTTTATTTAATTTATGGTGATAATCATCACAGCCGTGAGCCGTAGCTTATGTTTGGCTCGCAAGATACGTGGTGACAGCAGGTGGCAGGGGTGTGGTGGTGGTGGTGACAGCAGGTGGCAGGGGTGTGGTGGTGGTGACAGCAGGTGGCAGGGGTGTGGTGGTGGTGGTGACAGCAGGTGGCAGGGGTGTGGTGGTGGTGACAGCAGGTGGCAGGGGTGTGGTGGTGGTGACAGCAGGTGGCAGGGGTGTGGTGGTGGTGACAGCAGGTGGCAGGGGTGTGGTGGTGGTGACAGCAGGTGGCAGGGGTGTGGTGGTGGTGACAGCAGGTGGCAGGGGTGTGGTGGTGGTGGTGACAGCAGGTGGCAGGGGTGTGGTGGTGGTGACAGCAGGTGGCAGGGGTGTGGTAGTGGTGACAGCAGGCGGCAGGGGTGTGGTGGTGGTGACAGCAGGTGGCAGGGGTGTGGTGGTGGTGACAGCAGGTGGCAGGGGTGTGGTGGTGGTGACAGCAGGCGGCAGGGGTGTGGTGGTGGTGACAGCAGGTGGCAGGGGTGTGGTGGTGGTGACAGCAGGTGGCAGGGGTGTGGTGGTGGTGACAGCAGGCGGGGTGGGGGTGTGTGGTGGTGGTGACAGCAGGTGGCAGGGGTGTGGTGGTGGTGGTGACAGCAGGCGGCAGGGGTGTGGTGGTGGTGACAGCAGGTGGCAGGGGTGTGGTGGGTGGTGACAGCAGGCGGCAGGGGTGTGGTGGTGGTGACAGCAGGTGGCAGGGGTGTGGTGGTGGTGACAGCAGGCGGCAGGGGTGTGGTGGTGGTGACAGCAGGTGGCAGGGGTGTGGTGGTGGTGACAGCAGGTGGCAGGGGTGTGGTGGTGGTGACAGCAGGTGGCACCGGGGGGGGGGGTGTGGTGGTGGTGACAGCAGGTGGCAGGGGTGTGGTGGTGGTGACAGCAGGTGGCAGGGGTGTGGTGGTGGTGACAGCAGGCGGCAGGGGTGTGGTGGTGGTGACAGCAGGCGGCAGGGGTGTGGTGGTGGTGACAGCAGGCGGCAGGGGTGTGGTGGTGGTGACAGCAGGTGGCAGGGGTGTGGTGGTGGTGACAGCAGGTGGCAGGGGTGTGGTGGTGGTGACAGCAGGTGGCAGGGGTGTGGTGGTGGTGACAGCAGGCGGCAGGGGTGTGGTGGTGGTGACAGCAGGCGGCAGGGGTGTGGTGGTGGTGACAGCAGGCGGCAGGGGTGTGGTGGTGGTGACAGCAGGCGGCAGGGGTGTGGTGGTGGTGACAGCAGGCGGCAGGGGTGTGGTGGTGGTGACAGCAGGCGGCAGGGGTGTGGTGGTGGTGACAGCAGGCGGCAGGGGTGTGGTGGTGGTGACAGCAGGCGGCAGGGGTGTGGTGGTGGTGACAGCAGGCGGCAGGGGTGTGGTGGTGGTGACAGCAGGCGGCAGGGGTGTGGTGGTGGTGACAGCAGGCGGCAGGGGTGTGGTGGTGGTGACAGCAGGCGGCAGGGGTGTGGTGGTGGTGACAGCAGGCGGCAGGGGTGTGGTGGTGGTGGTGACAGCAGGTGGCAGGGGTGTGGTGGTGGTGACAGCAGGCGGCAGGGGTGTGGTGGTGGTGACAGCAGGTGGCAGGGGTGTGGTGGTGGTGACAGCAGGTGGCAGGGGTGTGGTGGTGGTGGTGACAGCAGGTGGCAGGGGTGTGGTGGTGGTGACAGCAGGTGGCAGGGGTGTGGGTGGTGGTGGTGGTGGTGGTGACAGCAGGCGGCTGGGGTGTGGTGGTGGTGACAGCAGGCGGCAGGGGTGTGGTGGTGGTGACAGCAGGTGGCAGGGGTGTGGTGGTGGTGACAGCAGGCGGCAGGGGTGTGGTGGTGGTGACAGCAGGCGGCAGGGGTGTGGTGGTGGTGACAGCAGGCGGCAGGGGTGTGGTGGTGGTGACAGCAGGTGGCAGGGGTGTGGTGGTGGTGACAGCAGGTGGCAGGGGTGTGGTGGTGGTGACAGCAGGTGGCAGGGGTGTGGTGGTGACAGCAGGTGGCAGGGGTGTGGTGGTGGTGACAGCAGGCGGCAGGGGTGTGGTGGTGGTGACAGCAGGCGGCAGGGGTGTGGTGGTGGTGACAGCAGGCGGCAGGGGTGTGGTGGTGGTGACAGCAGGCGGCAGGGGTGTGTGGTGGTGGTGACAGCAGGTGGCAGGGGTGTGGTGGTGGTGACAGCAGGCGGCAGGGGTGTGGTGGTGGTGACAGCAGGCGGCAGGGGTGTGGTGGTGGTGACAGCAGGCGGCAGGGGTGTGGTGGTGGTGACAGCAGGCGGCAGGGGTGTGGTGGTGGTGACAGCAGGCGGCAGGGGTGTGGTGGTGGTGACAGCAGGTGGCAGGGGTGTGGTGGTGGTGACAGCAGGTGGCAGGGGTGTGGTGGTGGTGACAGCAGGCGGCAGGGGTGTGGTGGTGGTGACAGCAGGCGGCAGGGGTGTGGTGGTGGTGACAGCAGGCGGCAGGGGTGTGGTGGTGGTGACAGCAGGCGGCAGGGGTGTGGTGGTGGTGACAGCAGGCGGCAGGGTGTGGTGGTGGTGACAGCAGGCGGCAGGGGTGTGGTGGTGGTGGTGACAGCAGGCGGCAGGGGTGTGGTGGTGGTGACAGCAGGCGGCAGGGGTGTGGTGGTGGTGACAGCAGGCGGCAGGGGTGTGGTGGTGGTGACAGCAGGCGGCAGGGGTGTGGTGGTGGTGACAGCAGGCGGCAGGGGTGTGGTGGTGGTGACAGCAGGCGGCAGGGGTGTGGTGGTGGTGGTGACAGCAGGCGGCAGGGGTGTGGTGGTGGTGACAGCAGGCGGCAGGGTGTGTGGTGGTGGTGACAGCAGGCGGCAGGGGTGTGGGTGGTGGTGACAGCAGGCGGCAGGGGTGTGGTGGTGGTGACAGCAGGC